TGTGTGTGTGTGTGTGTGTGTGTGTGTGTGTGTGTGTATGTTCTTGCGTGCATATGTATGTGTATGCATATGTGTGCCTCTCTGCGAGTATTTCGACTCGGTAACCAAGCAAGCTCTGACGCTAAAATTTTACCAATAATTTCCCTGGCCTGGTGCCGCCCCAGAAACTGACAGTCAACTTTGTTGCATGTCTGAACATGCATGCATGAGTGCGAAAGCCCTGGCATGGAAATTCCTGACTTAGAGACGAGAAAAGCTGGAAATCGGACGTTTTTAGTTGATGTTCTCTGCCCACTTACAACTTAAAGGCTTCAAATTCAGCTCCCAGCTATGCGTGGTTCTCACGTACAGCCCTGTGAAAGTTTATGGCAAGAAAGTGACTAGCTCGGGAACCAGGAAAGCTAGGAGGCTGAAATTTTAAGAAAATGCTTCCAGCCCGTGACCAACTTTAAACAATCAGATTCAACCTCTCCGTGTACATGGTTCTCACGTAAGGTCCCGTGAGTGTTTTTGGCGGGAAAATGGTCAGTTTGGGAACCAGAAAAGCTGAGAGGCTGAAATTTTAAGGGGATGTCCCTCTGACCAAGTATCATGTAGTTACACAGTTAAGTTCCTGAACTTTGAGAACCAATATGCCGTAAATTCTAACTACTGGGACTCCAAGCGATCCTAGAACAGCACGAAATACTGCAAAAACACATAATCGCATGGGCTCGGCCGGTGCGCGTCGTCAGTGATTTCACATACGGATAAGTAAAGTTTCTGGCAGAAAAACTGCTAGTCCCAGAACCAGAACAGTTAGGTCATTTTCAATGAACGATCGCTCAATGGAAGTCACTCGTTTTCTTTTAAGCATGATTTACGATGATTTATGGCGATGAAAACGCAAGTTAAATGTGAAGCAATAATCATTTATGCAGCTAGTAAACTGACTGCTTCAAGTTTCGCGCAAAAACGCATGACCGTCTGGTGCGTTGCGAACCGGACCTTCCCTTTTTTGCTGTTGCTTCATGAGTGGTCACCAACGAAAACTGAAGAGCGAGCGCCGATAATGACGAAGAAAGCAATGAAGCGAAGACGTTTGGCATGCTTCTTCGCCATCATATAACTGCCAGAATTTCCGTCAAATTAGCGGAACAACATGTTATTGTGACCAGGCGAAAATTAAAATCCGATTTCCTCGCTTTCTTAACAATCGTCGGGCTTTAGTGAATGATATCTTCGGGAAAGGGAACAACTACTCGAGTACCCCACAAAGAGCTGGGCCCATAAATCGAACAGCGATTGGCAGCGAATACAAAAGGAGATTTGACTTGAAAATGCATTCCTTTACTACTTTTCTCATGGAAATTATTTATGCCGCAACTTAAGGTAACTTACAATGAGGAAGTGATAAGTTATTCGATTCTTTGTTCGAAAGTGCGGAGCGACGGCGCTTCTTGCCTACCGGATGTGTTCCTCATGTCGCGCAGCAACTACTTGTCATCATCATATCCCGTCCAGTACCCCATATGGCATTTTTCCATTTACAAGTTAGTTCTTCTGTGGTACTTTTCATTTGGTCACCGCTATTACGGTTTAAAGCATTGTTGCTCAGACGAGTATCTACAAAATGTTGTTTGCTCAAGAGCGGTAGCAGATGCCAAAAGCAGACATCATTTAGTAAGACCGTCGATGATTTTCTCCTTCGAGAGTTACTTACACGCAAGTTGATGGTGGTTTGGCTTCCTTGCATATGCCAGTATTAACAAATCATCGAAATGAACGGGCAAATTGTATAGTGTTTGGCCGTCTCACCGGCAGAGGTTTTCCCTTGATTGCTTTCCACTGAGTCGTGTCCGCCGGCTTTGGGATTTGAAAATTGTAGTAAAAAATCAACACTTTTTTTCCCAAATCGAGCTTTCTCGAGTAAAAATTGTGCTTTCAGCAGTTCTCAGTCTGTTTTCACTGGTTCCATCTTTGGCGCGGTTCGCACAGTCAACGCAAATTCGGGAATTTTACGCTCCGCTCGACTGGTGCGAATGATTTTCAGTTTTCCGCCTCCATATCGTATCACTTCATTTGAAGAGATCTGGGATCGCTACTTGAACAGCATTGGCGATGCGCCAAATGTACGAGTGACTTACTGGAGTAGCAGCCAGTATGAAAAAGACATGAAAATGACTGCGGGACGAACGCGCAGGTAAAATATCATGACTGCTTTTTTTTCCCTTTAAAAAAGGGACTAAAAATTTAGCTAGGTTTTTTTATTTAGAAGTGTATAAAGGTTTCTGAGAAAGAGATAAGTATAATCCAAATACAGTCGTCCAATGGACTGCCTTTACATGCTTGCCGTTCTTAGGTCCAATTTGTAATGCTGAAATCGGAAATCACTAACTAGCTAACTAGCTTGCGCGAAAGCCTTTCGTGCGTATTTTTTGGCGAGATTAGAATGAAAAAAAAAGCTTTTAAGAAAGTGATAATGAATTAGAAAAAAAAAAAGATCAGGCGATAAAATGGTGCACGCAAAAAATAACACGAAGAGAGTTCTGTAAAGCGGACTATCACAAATTACATAAAGAACAAGTTGCTGCTCCAGTTTTCTTCGTTGATAGCTCAGTTTTGTTCATTGATGTAGTTTAAATTTGGATTATTAACCCCAAAGTATATTATGATTTTTCAGATTACTTCCACTATTAGCACTGAGTTTGGTAGTGTTCTGCTGTCTGAGTTCGATGAAGTGCCGTTGTAGTTTCCCTTGCATTGCGCTTCTCTCTTTTTGTGGAGTTTTATCAGCTGGTTAGTTCTTAAAATATTCTCATTAAATTTTTATCTTTTTAACAAGAAGAGGCGGGAATCGAAAGGAAAGAAGATAGAGCGGAGGCTAGAGAAACAAAAAGAGTGAGATGGAGCATATTTTCGATTTGCTGCTTTTTTTCATAAAGCTTCTGAGATAAGATCATATCTAAATCTGTATGGAGATGTGAATTTAAATGGGAGAAATGGGGGAGAAAAAAGAGGATAATGAAGGAAAAGGAGGGAAAAAAGTAAACTGAAAACAGGAAGCTAAGACATTTCGGCCCGTTAATTTGTAAATGTCAACTCAGCATCGCTGCAAGACTTCGCCAGCACAATGATTAAGTTTAATGTTTCTAAGCTTGGTTCTTTGTTTTGTTTTTATATATTTTTGGCAACTGATATCAAAAAAAAAAAGATCTCTTCTAAAAAGACGAAAAGAACAGATTTTACTTACTGTTAATAAAGAATTTGCCTTCACCCACGTATTTCTATCAAATACTTGTAACTCCTACTCTTTCACGTTATTATATGGTCCGGAAGTCTCTGTTCCTTAGTGAAATCGGTAGCTAGAATCTAACAGTCTAACTCAAAAGTTAGGATTTTTTAATTAGAAAATCCTTCTATTCGTTTCGTTCTAGCATGCGGCGTGGTAACGGCATTTGGATTTCTTCACATCGTCGGTATTCGTCTTGTACAAATCGCACTAATCACACCTTTCCTCGTCCTTTGTAAGCTTTTTTGACGGTTACTTCAAGAATACAAAGGCTACCTGTACGATCAGCTTGAATATCATATGTCACTGGGGCTGTTGGGATAGTCGCACACGTCATGCACAGCTACGCGAGCCTTTTGATCCTAAGCAGCATACTATCAATTAGCATCCAACGCCTCTTCAATTTTTTCTTTTTCGATTGAAAATTCACTTATGCGTGACATCCATTGGTTGTCGATAAAGGAACATTGGATTTTACCTTCTTGTGTGGTCGTAGTCATATTTGCACGTGATGATCATTTTTTCAAATACACTATTTTTTGAAAAGAAGATCTATTAAATTATTATTTTTAGGAAAAAGAAAGGTTTTAAAAAAATGTTATTCGGAAAAAGGCAAAATTTCCGACTCTTTCTGGCCGTTAGGCATCTTCCTTTCCAGCAAATTCTGACTGAACCGAATAACAAAAACTTTTTAAAGCTCATACCCTCTTGATCGGATGAGTTCCGTATCAATGCTATTGTCGCTAGAAGCCATTCCACTTCGGATTTGCAAAGCTACGTGAATTTCCTAGAAAAACGATTTTTCAAAAATTTTCCATAAAATCGGTACTATGCATTTGTTTGGTTCTCTATTCGGTAATATCAACAAAATGCGCGAATATAGTCTTGAAAAGTGCAAATATTAATCTTCTACGGTCTTCTTGGAAGAAAAATGAAATTTTTCGAAAATTGTTATGAAAGCAGTTGCGAAAAATGTAAAAGAGACGGCTGGTTTGTAACTTCGAAAAGGAGAGGTTGGAATACGGATGAAATTTTTCATTGCAGCAATTGGCATCGATGATATGTTCATTATGCTTTCCATTTGGGAAGAAACTGTCCACGCTGCCTCATTACGCAGCCAGGATTCATGCGAGCTAATACGAATAACATTCCGGCTCGTTCATTTATTTCTGTTACAAAAAATTTTTTTCGTTTAGAGATTGTTTTTTTTTCTTTGAAAAGTGGTAACTATATATGCACTAAGAATACCGAAACGTCTGCGTGGATACCCCATACTAATGATATAATGATGCTATTTGGGTGACAAGACGTTGGGAGCAAATATGCCAGTTCATTCAGTATGCTGAGCTACATATTTTCGTTTGGTATTCACCACTGTTTGATATCTGTACGCCATTTCTTCAGAGCTTCCTCGCCCCTCTTCCTGAATGGTCGTTACAGGTACCAATCAATGACACATGGTCCAAGGCAAAAACATGAAAGGAGATACCATTGCGGTTAATGGAAAGCTAAAGAATTCTAGCTACAGCTGAACTGCTCTTCGCTAGTTATCTGAAAGGGTCTTTTAGCTCTATTGGAGAAATTCTGCGGTAGTTCGAAGCCCCACCTGTGGACGGTACTGGGCTAAGGCGTTATTTGAGACCGTAGGTAAGAAGCCGAACACAATGCTATCACGGGATTTTTCTTGGTAGCCAACGTAGAACCAGATGTTAATTGCTTTCTGTCGCATGGGAGCCAACGTCCATTCTAGATCGTTACAGTTGTAGTCATATGGAATCCATTGTCCGGGAGCCGTAGGTAGGAGTGAATTGAAATCTCAGGCGACAAAGGCCGCTATCTTCTATAATCGTGAGCCGGAAATATTTTTGTAAGAACTTTCGAAAAAATCATAGAAACAAAAACAAAAATCATAAGAACTTTCACAAAAATCTATTAATCACAGAGGCTGATGCCGATTGCTGTGCTTTCTCAGAATTTTTCGATAAGCCTTGGTCTTCTCTCTTCCTAATCTAGGCAGATTGCAGAGATAGCATCGTTTCGATCCTGCTCACTACGTTCGGTAATGTGCTCGTTTTTACGCTTGGCTCTTTCTCGCCATTCCCAATCATACGTACATTTTGCGTCTACAGCGCCGTTTCACTGCTCGTCCTCTTCATCTTCCAATTGACATTGTTCGGCGCACTATTGGCGATTGTGGCTCGTTATTCTGGGCTGAATTTGGCCAGAAGTGCGCCGGTGCAACAAAGCTGCTCGCTAACATACACTGAAGCTCGTTCGTCTGGTGAGTACTTATTACAGTAGCTCGACCAATTTTTATAAAAATTGGCCAACGCACGGGCTGCCCGTGCGAAGATGCGTTTTTTGCATGGTTCCCCGTA